AGTTGATAATTTAATTAAGTTAATGATTGAATAAGCTTCTAGCGAGTTCTATGCACATGGAAATTTTCCTAATCCATTGTTAAAATTCTTTCATTTTCTTTTCTTTCTTTCTTTCTTTCTTTCTTTCTTTCTTTGAAACTAAAGTGCGTCTCTGATATGTCTTTTCTGTCTTAGATTATATAGAAAAATATAAATATTTCCAGTTGGATTAGAAGATCAATAAATGATATATTTTCTTCATATTCCAAATATCCACACGATCAGTCAGAAAAAGAATGTAAGATGTAAATTATTGAAGGGTGATGTAAACTAAGATTGTACATTCACTTCGAGCCTTCATTATATTTATCATACAATTAAAGACACTAATAAATCCAATTTTTAACATATACGTAAAAAGAGGATTCATACCTTCCCCAAGAGTATTAGCACGTAAGTGAATGTAATGAATGAAGAATCGGAGAGGAATACATTACATTTACTTACGTACTAATACCCATGAGAAAGGTATGAATTCTTTTCTTCCCGCCAGCTGTGGGTAAATAGCAGTACAGGTTGGGTTCTATAGCCTTTCTACTGCAGAAAGAAATGGCAACCAACTGCGGGAAAAATCCGCCTCGTTGGTCATGTATCGAAAGATATATGATCGCCTAAGCGTGTATTACGCATGGCACATAAATGACTGAAGTGTGTTAACATTTCGAAAATCTGAATTCAGCACACACGTCGTAAGTTATACATGCGATGTTTAAACAACCAATGAAATCAAAGCAAAGTAGCATTTAAAAATTAAGACATAATTCTGCGTTATTTCACTTACCAAAGATTTCTGATGAAGTTGAAAGAAATAACAAAACATGTTAAATTTGTAAGTCTTTTTCTACTTGTTCCTTATTTAATCCTTTATATATATATATATATATATATATATATATATATATATATATATATATATATATATATATACGTATGTGTAGATTTAATAGGTCAGTTTATGAAATTCAAGATGATAAGAATATTACCAATAAGACTGATGGTATTTATTTTAAATCAAGATCAAATGTGACAAAACTTGTTTTGATGAATTCCTATTGCCTATATGCACCTAACCGAAGTTATATCTATCTATCTATCTATCTATCTATCTATCTATCTATCTATCTATCTATCTATCTATCTATCTATATATATTAAATATATTATAAATTAATTGATTTAAAATATGTTTTTTTCAAAGTTTGTTCTAACCACGTTTCAAAAAATAGAAGCTAAAAGCCCCGAATTTTTGAAACATGGTTAGAACTGTAGCGGAAAAAAAAATATTTTAAATCAATTAATTTATAATATTAATGCTCTGTAAATTTACATTGAGCACTATTTTGTAAAAATAAAACTATCTATAAGAACACTGGATTATATATCTTACTGTTCTTTCTTTTATATATATATATATATATATATATATATATATATATATATATATATATATATATATATAAAGAAATGGACAAAGTCCGACAATTTATTAAAGACATTTTTTTATGTTTAACCATCTTTTATAGATAAGTATTTTTAGTAAATGCTGTTTATAATAAACAGTATTAAATAACATTTACCGGCCTGAATGTCTGAGAAATTTTCAAAGGACGAATATTTTCTATGAAAATTACATTCAGGCCGGTAAATGTTATTTAATACTGTTTATTATAAACAGAGCATTTACTTAAATAAATCTATCTATAAAAAAAATGTTAAACTTAAAAATGTCTTTTTAATATATATATATATATATATATATATATATATATATATATATATATATTTATATATAATCAGTTTTATTCACAATATTTCATCGTTTTGTTGTCTTTTTATTCCTTGAATTTAATTAACCGGCCTATTAAACCTACATAATATAAGAAGCGCATACACTAACCAGCTTTTGCTATTATTCTTCATATATTTGTATATATATATAAATACATATATATATATATATATATATATATATATATATATATATATATATATATATATATATATATATATATATATATATATATATATATATATATATATATATATATATATGAAAAAAAAAGGCATGAGGAATGTATCTAATTTTAGCCGATGCTTTTCGTCCATTGACCGACTTTATCAATGTAAAAGCGACATGAATTCATTTGTAAACAATGTATCTAATCAAAACAAAGATAAAATGTTGTTAGTTACCAGAAAATTATAAACGTTTATAAATATTCATAAGTTCAACTGAAGAATTCGTCATTTTTGCATACTCGAAAATAATTTTTCATATGAAGTATAAATCCGTGGTGTTATTTTTCGGCTATCCGGTAGAGAATCCTTGATGTATTTTTATGAGCATTGGAGAATGATTTCTTCAATGCTGTACCTGAGAAAGTTCTTTCTACTTCTGAAAGGAATAAACGGGTGTTAACATTTGTATATATTTTCTGATTTATGTATATATATTTTAGTTTTCCATGTCGACAATTTGGGAATATTCTCAGATATAATCTGAGTAGATATATTGTTTTCAAATAAAATGGTTTCGCTTTTGCCTCGATAAAGTCCGTCAATGGACGAAAGGCGTCGGCTGAAATTAAATACAGTTTTCCTAATTTATTTTTTCTTCTATTCATATTGTCCTCTCTACAGATTATATCTGAGAATATACATAAATTCGGTTGGGATAAATGTGATAAATTCCCAATTTACTACAACAAACCTCCTCTCTTAGGTTAGACCCTGGGGTCAAAATCAAAGATTTAGAGCAAGAAGAATCTTATAAGTACCTCGGTGTAGATGAAAATGAAGGAATTCGCCATAAATAAATGAAAGAAATAGTGCGAAAATTATACTACAGAAAGGTGTGAGTGATATTAAGAACTGAATTAAATTCTCAGAAGAGAATTATGGCGATTAATAGCCTCGTCATCCCAGTGGTTCAATACAGTTTAAGCATCTTGAACTAGTCTCTAAATGACATCAGACGAATGGATTTTAAGACAAGAAAGCTTTTTTCTAAGCATAACATGCACCATCCAAAAGCTGATGCAGACCGTCTAGACATACCCCGAAAAGAAGTTGAAAGGGTTCTCATTTAGTTAGACTTTTCATACAAGAAAGTAACTATTGGCTTACTAACATACATGGAAACAAGAAAGGGCTGGATGATAAAATTATTCAACGTTCTGGGTATGACTATAAACTACATTCGGCAGCAAGGCCTCTGATAGGGAGGTTTTGAGGAGTGTGAAACCACTTCTTAATTGCTGTTGTTCCTACGTCCATCCTGACCAGGGAACAGTAGGGTCCCAGCTATGGGCAAATAGTTAACAACCAAACTGGTGTCGAAACACTATGAAAGTGTAAAAATAGGTTTTTATCATAAAAATACCAGCAATAGATTCTTGGAAAAAAATTATTACCAGCAATACATTTTTGAAAAAAAAAATATTACCAGCAATGCATTTAAAAAAAATGAAATTATTACCAGCAATACAATTTTGAAAAAAAATATCACCAGCAATGAAAATCTTGTTGGCATTACATAACCTATTGAAGTTGATATGCCGTAAAACAAACCATATCAAAGAATTAGACAAAAAATAGGATTACACAAAGAAAAAAAATTCAATCATGCAATAAACGTTTAAATACAAACAAGATTTACATTTAGTAGTTGCTTTAGAAAACCAAAGCATAATCCCAAGTCAACTGTTGCAGCAAAAATTATGTAAAAGAAAACGAAAAAAAAACAAACTCTTGAACAGATGAAACAACGCTGGCAAGACAAACATCTACATGGCCAATATTCAGAATATGCTAATAAAACCGATGTTGATAAAGTTATCACTCGGGATCTTCTGTACCTGCGCTAAATGAATATAAAAATCGTCAGGCTTAGTTCGAACGGACAGCCAGTGAATATATTGTCCTAACCTGTCATCTCTAATAATGTATTCTTTGTCAGCAAGGACTGGGCACTTTGATATTATGTAATAAACAGTTTCATCAAACTTATGATATAAGCGACAGGCGGATGTGGGCCATATTTTGTTAATTTTATTATTAGTTTTATTATTATTATTATCTTTGATTTTTGTTGTACGTACGTTTCCTTCTGAGTCGCAACAAGAAGCCTAAGGTCAGAAATGGCATCGCGATTATTTTCCACTGAACATTTTTGTAAAAAAACACCGACACATTTTACATAGATAAAGCTTTTCGTAAAGTGTTACCGTACTTGTGAGTACTTTTTTGTATTTCTTTAAGGCTTACAAATTATTACTTGTCTGTCGTATTCAATGAAGCATTTATAAAAGAAGGGTTGCTGTCGAATTATGAAATATGTAATAATTTCGGAAATAAAAACATAAACTACAGTTGCAAAAACAGGTTGGAACTAAAGAAGGCAACGAAGAATGATAAAAAAAAAGTTCAGAGTGAAACTGTTTCAAAATAGACATCGGATATTCGAAATATCAGCCAATGGCTGTTGCAGAACTAATAATGAGGCTTTAGGACAGAGGTTGTTTTTTTTTCTCCCTCTCCATGGTCCTATTCCTTGAAATCACACCCTTACTCACTCTCAAACTGACATTCCACATATCCCCAATCTGGTTTGTTGTCTCTTATTCTGGTTCTAAATCATCTGGCTTCTAACCCTACACTTTGGAACATTTTCTGAAAACTGATCAAGATCTGTGACGGTCGCCCGCAAAACCCAGACGCTGGTGCAATTATATTTCGAGGTTTCTAGGCTCCAATAGTGGAATCACCGACTCGGAGGCTTGGAGCTTAGGGTTGGGAAAAGAAGGCTTCGTGAATGGCGCCTTTATGCGTACGTCAATTGGATGTCATTGCACGATAATGCCTCGATCAATCAGCGATCGCCTGTCGACACTCTTCAGGGATTTGGTGCAAAAGGTTTTAAAATATGACGGTCATTTCTCAGCCAATAGACAATAAAGAAGTTAAGGATGACGGGGTGGGAAGAAAAAAGAGAATAAGAGAAACACTAAGGTGCTAGGGGGAGAAGAGAAGGGGAATCGTAACCGTCGAAACAGGATAAGAAAAAGGGAAGCGGAAGAGAAAGCAAAGAGTACTAGTAGGAGAAAAACATACCAGAAGAAAGGGTTGGAGGAGAGTGTACAGGAAATGGAAGGAGATGGAAAGAGCAGGATGGGCGTAGATGAGAATAGATTAAACCAAGTGAAAGAAAGAAAGAAAGAAAGAAAAAAGAAAGAAAGAAAGAAAGAAAGAAAGAAAGGAGAAAGAGAGACAGGGAAGAAAAAGGAGAGAACAAAGTTGTAGAAGTGTAGAAAAACAAAAAAAGATTTACTCAATGTCTAATCAATGCAGGCAAATACAAGCATAAAAGAAATATCTTTAAAAAAATACGAAAAGGACAAAAAGTCCATACAAAATATTGACAAACGATTCTTAATCAATATCAAAGAATGGAGGGATGCCAAAGAGAAGTAGGAAAAAAAAGTAACAAGACGAAGGGAAGGAAGTAAATAAATAAACAAAAGTGTGGAAGAAAGAAAATGGCGGTGACAGAAAACCGAGCAAAGATATGACAGTAATGAAAACTCTTATCGTAGGAAATGCAAAATAAACAATTAAAAAATATTCAAAAAAAAACAAAAAAACTGTGTGGAATATTTTTCACCTCTAAAATACCGTCACCATCGAAATGAATCTGTTTATCTGAAAAAACCGTCTAAGGTTCTACACGAAGGTTCGGAGATTATAAATCACGCGTGAAAACTGAATGGTGTACAAATTTCTGTCGTTACTCTTTCGCGCGCCCTAAACTAATATAAAATTTTTACTATCTTTTTTTCTTTTGAAGCCTGTTGCTATATATGGGCAGGGGTTTCACTTTCCAGTCTCAATATAGAGTTCAAAAGCGTATCCGCTTCCTTGTGGGTAATGGATTATTTTCCCCTCTACAACCTCTTTCCCACAGACGTTGCAAGCCTCTCTCTGGTATACCATTATTTCAGACGAACAACATTCCTTAGTTCCACCAGTTCTAACATTTATGGTTAAAACTCGCCATGCCACGCACATTGTAGCAAACCACCATAATTCCCTTCCTATTCCATTTGTGAAAGTTCCACCCAAGAAGCGTATTTCCACGAACCGCTGCTTTGAGGAATCGGTTCCCAAGATGATGCTTCCACGACAATTATCACATGTTCTTGTCTGTTACTTTCTCCTCATATCGCCATAAACTCTGCCTCTTACTCTGTAACCCTCTACCTCGAGTGGCTCTTGGGCTTTGTACAAGGGAAATTCTATCTGGCACCAGGTGATTCCTCAGAAATCAAGAAATGTATATTGTTGTGACCAAGTAAATAGTTAAGAAATAACAAAGCAAGAAGATGCAGATAAATCGTGTATTAAACAGTAAATACAGGAGAAACGTATTACACGACTTGGGAGTGTATGTCGGTTGACCAGCGTTCATTCAATATCACTGTTAATATTTAACAGCCCCCCTCCACAAGGGATATATGTGGCACAAGGCCAAATATCCTGTAGAACCCGTATAAACGCGTTCGGGTCTGTCTACCTTCCCGGGCGAAACTCTGCCCATTCCCAACAGCATCGTCCGGGTTCCTTTCTGCCAAAAGCAGAGAATTCGACAGGAGTTGCGAACAGCCTCAGTAGAACAGTCTATATCACTGTTAATATTTATCATTCCCCCCCAGCACAAGTCCGAGTTTTGTGTGGGTTTACGAGCCCGTAGGTTTGGTAAAAAATATTCCCATAGAACCCGTATAAACGGGTTCGGGTCTGTCTACCTCCCCGGACGAGGCAAAGTTCCTCTCTGTTCAAGGTAGAGAGTTCGACAATAACGAACAGGCCATAGCACTTAATATTTAACAACCCCCACCCACTAACGAGGGATGTATGCGGCACAAGACCGAGTTTACCGTAGTTTCTTCGAGCCCGTAGGCTAGGCCCAAAATATTCCCGTAGAATCCGCATGAATGGGTTCAGGTTCTGTCTACCACCCCGGAGGAAACTTTGCCCTTCGGCAAAGCTTCTGCCGATTTCCTCTCTGCCGAGGCAGAGAGTTCGACAGTTGAACAGTCTATGGCATTATTAATATTTAACACCCCCCCACAACGAGGGATGTATGTGGCACAAGGCCGCGTTTACCATGGGTTCTCCGATCCCGTATGCTCGGCCAAAAATATTCCCTTAAAACCCGCTTAAACGGGTTCAGGGCCTGTCTACCACCCCGGACGAAACTTTCCCTTCGGCAAAGCCTCGTCCGGGTTCATCTTTGTTCAAGGTAGAGAGTTCGACGGTAACGAAAGGGCCATAGCACTGTTAATATTTAACAGGCCCCTCCAACCAACGAGGGATGTATGCGGCACAAGGCCGAGTTTACCGTGGTTTCTCCGAGCCCGTAGAGAGAGTTTGACAGTTTGAACAGGATGGAGCACTGTTTCTCCGAGGCTTACTTTCCTACTAATTTTATAATAAGTGGAAGAGTCCACAATAGACTTATTAGCGGGAGGACCATACAACATATATTTTGTAAAAAAAATGAGCAAAAATAAAGCAAATGCAAACGTTACTGTTAGGCTTAAAGTAAAAGTTCCTTTGTGCTGTGCTAGATTTGTAAAATATTCTCAACATTTGATAATAAAGTTAAATCAATAATTTCTAAATTCTTTTTCTTTTTATGTATCATGCCCTTTCAGGACGTAGGCGATCATGGCTCTCCCCCTTCCTCTATCCCTTGCAGCTCTCAGCAAGTTCCTACCTTCTGTTTCCTCCCCCAGATCACGTTTTGTCATCCAGGTGCTTAAGTCCGCCAAGTATTTCACGCGATGTTTTCCCTTGTCTCTCTTTCCCTCTATTCAACCCGTGAGTATTAGATTCTCCAGACCCTCCTTCCTCATTATGTGTCCCAGAAACTTCAGCTACCTCTTCCTAATGTTAAGTATAAGCCTTCTCCTTGTTTGCAACCTTTCTAAGATCTCATCGTTGCTCACACGTTCGGTACATGATATCCTTAGCATCCTTCTGTAGAACCACATCTCAGTCGCATCGTGTATCTTCTTCATCTTTGAGGAAATCGTCAAACATTTGCGGCCGTTATTTCACGTAACAGCTCAATATTCTTTTCTTTGTTACCATAAAAATACTCCTGTCTCGCAATACTCTACCCAGCTTTTGGAATGCGTCCTTGGCCATCCCATTACGTCTACGGATCTCAGTGTCGCATTTACCGTCCTCTGTCAGAATGCTTCCCAGTTATTTAAACTTTTCCCGTCTGCTTGATTCTCGTGTTCCCGACCTGCAAATCGCATTTCGGGCTCATTCCTCTTAATAGGAGAGATTAACAGGCTTTTTAAAGTATGATTCTAAAATGAGAGCAAATATTTAAATTGTATTCCGTAACTGTTGAATGACAGATCAGAGTAAGTCTGTCTGCAATATTGTGTCAAAATATAAACCATTCAAACTGAAATCGTTCAGTGATAGACAATAAGAGAAGAAAAGAAAAAAGAAATAACATAGAGGCATAGAAGGAAAAGAAACGTAAAAATATAAGCGAGAGAAAGAGAGGAATTGAGGGAAGTGCATTGGAAGAAGAGTGAATTAGACAGATGGAAAATTAAAATAAAATTAAAGAAAGAAAGGAAAGGGAATAAATATAAAGAAAAGAAACGAGGAAAGAAAGAAAGAAAGAAAGAAAGAAAGAAAGAAAGAAAGAAAGAAAGAAAGGAGAAGAAGAAAAAATAAAGAATTACATTCGAAAAAGTGAGAATAAGACAAAGAGGGGAAATTAACCTAAACTTAAAGAAAGATTAGAGAAGAAAGTAATGTAAAAGGAAAGAAAAGAAAGAACGAAATAAAGAATAGGAGAGAAAAAAAAATGGCATTTAAAAAAAAAATGAAAAGGACAAGGAGGGAAAATTAAGATAAAATTAACGAAACAAATGCAAATGAAAAGAAAAGGAAGAAAGAAAGAAAGAAAGAAAGAGAAAGAAAAAATATTCCTTGAAGATTGAAGCAGTGTAAGTTAGGATAAAATTAAAGAAAGAAAGTAAAAAGAAAAAAAAGAAAGAAAAAAAAATGAAAGAATTGCATTAAAAAAGTGAATACGACAATGAGGTAAAATTATGATAAAATTAAAGAAAGAAAGAAAGGAAATGAAAGAAAGAAAAAAGAAAAGGAAAAAAGAATTGCATTTAAAGATGAGTGAATAAGACATGAACTGGGAATTAAGTTAAAATTAAAGAAAGAAACGCAAAGAAAGAAATATATAGGAAAAGAAGAGGAAAGAAAGAAAGAAAGAAAGAAAGAAAGAAAGAAAGAAAGAAAGAAAGAAAGCGAAAGGTAAATAGTAAATAGGCATACGTCGGAATTTTCAAAAAAGAATTGAAGAAAGAGGCGAGGAAAGAGATTAAAATAAAAGATAGCATTAATAAAAGCTTAAGAGAAAGAAAAAAAAGAGAAAGAAGCCTTAAGTGCCAAACAATATTTCGTGTTCAAAAATAAATACAGAAAATATGTACAAAGTATGGCAGGCTAATGACGAAGAAAAGAAAGAAGAAAAGAAGCAACCGAGTGACAGTGGCAAGCGAAGATCCATAAAATGAATAAAAAAGAAAACGAGAGAAACAAATAAATTTCAAGGCTGAAGAAAGTTTGAAAAATAAAGAAAATGTAATTAATATGACAAGAAACAAAAAATGAAAACTCGAATCGTCTGCCAAGATCACTGGAATGATTGTTGGCAGCCATTGTTTAAAAGGCAGGTTTACTAGCATTGTGGATTTTTTCGTCCTTTGCCAAGGTGATTTCAGTTTTGCACCTCTGACAATATCGCGTTCTGGCATTTTCTTCTATTCTCATTTCCGTAAGGCAAATAATCTAAAATAACAATAAGAGCGAATTAAAAATAATGCGATAAAAAAGACAAAAATGGCAATCATTCTTGTGATAACGAAAACAATAATTTAAATAATAGCAAGAAAAAGATAAAATAATGGATTGAATTACAGCAATATTAAAAAGAGTGTAAGATAATAACAATAAACGATAATTATGACAACAGCAGGGATAATAATAAATAAATAAATCGTAACAAAAATAGCAAGAACGCCGCAGTATGACACAGCGGCCAAAAGTAGAAACGTTGCATAGCAACAAAGAAAAATATCCCTGTTTAGAAGGAAGTAAAAATTATCAAGGGTAAAACGTGTGTATGTTATCCTGGGAGCCTGGGAGAACATATCTATTTTCATTTTAACTTTTTTTTAGAAGTATAGAACTAGGAGGTGGCGGACATAAAATTGATTAACAGTGATGGACACAATAAATGATGGTATCATCTAATCATTTTAAGGGAATTTTCTAAAAATAATTTTATATTAATCCTCCATTACAAATTTTGTTACTGAAAATTAAATCAACTTTTATGTTTTATTACAAACTGAGGAAAATGGCAGTTAAATTAATTGATATTTTTAAAAATCACGAATAGATTACAGGGAACAGTTTCAGAAGGGAAAAATGACACTCCAGAGTCTTGAAGTCTTCGATTCAGGGTAATATTCCAAACGTCTGAAATTCAAATTGGAATTTCGAGAGAAGTTCTTTCGTTCTGAAGGGAAGAACGTATCTTTCGAGCGTATCAACTCGTATAAAATGGCGGCATCGTACCAAAAGCATTTATTTCTATTTGAATTCTGAAAATATTTGATAATTTATCCGGGACGTTCTAAAGAGCTACGACTTAACTAGTTTAAAATGATCATCCTTAAATGACAATATTTAATACAATTTTTTCAGTTGCATTGGGTCAAATTTTCAGTATAATTAATTTTATTAACTCATGGAATTAGAAATCTTCATTTTAAAATCATTAACAACAAAAACAAAAAACTATCCAAAAAAAGTGAACACAATGCAATGCAAAGTGTACCCATTAAATAAAAAGAATAAAGTTTCTCTCAAGCCAGCCTAGAGTTTTGATTAAGATCGAATCTGAATAATAACTGACTTAATAATGTATATGACTTTGTTGTCATTATATAAAAGCAGAGATTGGCAACCTTTTCGAGAGAATGAACCAAAAAGGTTTGCATTGTCTGGGAAGAGGACCATAATATCAAATGTATTATAATAAATTGTCTCGACTTCAGCCCACTCCGACTAGTAAGCTTGCCTTGGTCTGGAGGTTTAAAGAAAAACACCACGAAGTTAATGTAATATTATTTAAAGAAATATTAAATGTTATTTAATATCATTTAAATAAGGTTCCTTATTTTACTGCAGGAATAACGGAATGGCAACTAACACAATCAATAAAAAATGCAAATTCCCTACTAAAAACGGAATACAGTTAGAAATAGCAAATTATTTAATGAGACGCTGCTTACTGTTCGATAACATCTCCACATCAGGTGGAATATATGTTGATGACGGTAGCAAAACATCATCCAGGTGATCATCACCTAACCTTGTTTTTAAACTAATTTTAGGATATTTAATTTTCGAAAAAAAAAAGTTGTTCACAAGCAGATGTACTTCCAAATAATGATACCATCATTTTGCCATTATTCAATAGGCTTTTCTATTTTCCGCTTCGGAAAAAAAAAAAAAAATTTGCAGAAGTCAACAGTAGATTCCGAATGAAATTTTTATTTAAAACATTTGTCGCATTGTAAAGTCAATTAACTGATAATTTTTCTGCCACTTGCTCTACAAATTAATTAGATAATTAGTGTTCAGGTATTAAGCTGGCGGGCCGGAGAAAAATTCGGGGACCGGATGTAGTTGCCGAATCCTGTACTAAAGCGTTATATTGAAGATATACTATCCTTTTATAGCTAATAATGTTATAATGAAAATAAAGCCTTATCTTGCGGATGAAGTGAGTATTTGTTTGTTTACTCTCCGCGATTAAACGGTTTTATCTACAACGCTTTAATTTGGTATTCATCTACAGAAGGCTCATGAGAATATCATGTATGGGACATGCAAGCAACGAACAAATGTTAATGAAAATAGAAATATAAAAGACAATTATATACAAAATCAGAAAAAGAGAGTTGAGATTGCTGGGTCACATGATGAGAAATGTAGACTTGGAGAATTTAACAGTATATATTGAAAGCAAAAGAGATAGAAGAAAGCAATGATTAGCCTCCTCAATGAGCTTATGTAAAGAAAATGTTGTGGTAGGATCCACCTAATTTGCATAGTGGAGTACCGATCATATAAATATGGTTGGGAGGAATCAAGAGATTCAACCAGAGACTCTGCCCAACTGCGACTCAGTCAACACATTCTCCAGGAACGGTCTTACCACGAATATACAAAAGACTATATGTAAATATTGTGTACACTTTCTTGTTTCAATACATTTTGTTCTAAGTACATTTTGTGTGCATTATCATGCATTAGTCAAGTTTCAACAGAAAAGCCTATTAAATAATGTAGAAATGATAGTAACATTATTTGGAAGTACATATGCTTGTGAATATTTTTTTTCGAAAATTAAATATCCTAAAAGTCGTTTGAAAACAAGGTTGGGCGATGAGAACCTGGATGATGTTTTGCTGCCGTCACCGACAAATATTTCATCTGATGGGCATCAAAACACGAAGAGGAAGGGGCAGTAGAAAAGCAAACATTGAGCTACGATGGTTAGGAAGTCGTGGAGAGATATGATCGATCACGTTTTAAACAAAATTTGCCCGTAGCTACTATAAATGGGGTGAATGGAATCGACCTATTACTTTCACGTTCAAGACTGGTCAGTTGTATTGCACTAATGCCCTTGGGAAAAGGAAGAATCTATTTTACTGCCTTCTTCCCAGTTAACAATGAGGTGCTCTTTAGCTTTGCGTCTAGACTCGAAGAAGGAAAACCATGGCGAAGACAACGGGAAAACACTCCACTATCTTTCCCAAATAATAAAAGAAAAAGGAATCTATGGAGAACCATGATCGCTTATGTCCCAAGGAGGAGGAGGAGGATGAGGAGGAGGAGGAGTTGTTGTTTATGCTATTTACATTGTTCGGACTGTTGTCTTCATCTTTGTTGTCATATTCACGACGTTTTGGCATTTATTTCGTCCACTAGGGTAGATTGTTCTAGTTCTACGTGCCATACCTCTTCCGAGTATCTCAGTTGTAGTTATCTTTCCTTAGTAACGCAACTTTCGAAGTGTTTGTTCATCTCTGCTGTGGCTATTGAACTCACAACACTTTGGGTCAAGTCACTGGCTTAATTCAATCAACTTTTTTTTTATCTACTAGGCCATGTAGATGAGGACAACAATGCAAATAGTGTAAATACTTACCTCATCTCAGAAATATAGACAGATGTTGTTGTTGTTGTTCTTCTTTTTGTTGTGTCTCTTTAGGATTTTAGTGATCATGAATTACCATAATTTCCTGTCTTTTGTAGCTTTTCATAAATTCTGTTTTTTTTTGTCATAATTCCTGAACATTTTCCCGCCACCCATTTACTTAAGATTGTGAGGTAGATTATGCGTCATAACGCTCTTGCCTTTAATCTTCTGTATATAAAATTTTCCAAGCCCTTTTCCTCATTATGTACCCTAGAAATTCCAACCGTCTTATCCTGATATTAAGAGTCCTTTTTATTTCCACATTCTCTTAAATTTCGTTTTGTTCATGGCAGTCTTAGTACCCTTCTGTAGAACCACATTTCTCTAGCTTCAAGTCTTTTCTTCATCTGTGACGAAACTGTCTAGCATCCACTCCATATAGGAGGACTGATATTACTTAACAGTTCAACACTCTTTTCTTTGATGGCATTTGAAGATATTAACGTAGAAGAAATTAGAGCTTATGTTTTTTTAAATGCTCAGAATGTACGCTGAAAAATATTATTACAAAACTTTTAAACTTTCTAAATTTGACAGCAAAGAAATGTGACTTTGTTTTTATCAAACACGGAGACATCTCCGTTGAATAGGTGTAAAAAAAACTCATTTCAAATTAAATTCTTCACAGAAATAAGTCTTAATAACATAGCGAAGAAAAGGGACTTTAGTCCGAGTAAGTTATAAATAAACAGTGTTGTTTATTCGTGTGTGGGCCTCATTACACTCCCAGATCCGGATCTCTTAAAAATCATTCCAGTCGTGACGCTTTGAATTGTTTAAGCATCTCTTTAGCGTAAGCTAAGCGGATTTCATCTCACCTTCATTTCACAGCCAATGAGCCCACCGAAGCGTGAACAGGTGGGTATCTTTATGCAAGAATTCGTTCGATTAAAATAAATGAACGATAACCAGAGAGAACCTACAACTGTCACCGGCAAGCTTAAGAGATCAAGATGGCTATCCGCGTGGAAAAAAAAAAATGGGACGGTGGAAATTATTTTTTTAAATAGATAGAAAGAAGTAAGATGGGTTTTCCTAAAGATGTCAGCGCTTCTTTGATTGATGGTTGTCATGAGTATCCAGAAACCGTGCGTCCAGAAACCGTTCAAATATTCGGTCAAAAACATTTCTCATTAGCTTTGAGTCGTCCATTCCTTTGTGAAATGAAAAGCGGGTTAGATTTATAAGCATACATTTTTGACCGCCAATTAAAGATCAAAGGGTAGTAT